CTCCGGTTTAAAGAATGAATGCAAGGAATCATGATACTCAACAGCATACAGTGACTGTGGGAGTTTATTTTCAGGATAAAGAAATTTTTAAATGCATATTTGTATTTAAGGATTGTCATTAAAAAGGGAAAGAATAAAAAATCTAAGGAAGAAATATATCTCCTTCCTTCCTTTCTGCAACTCCCCACTTGTGAGAATGCTTTCTACTTTTCCTCACCTTTCTCAAGGTCTTAGGTTGTCTTGTTTCTTGTTTGTTTGTTTGTTTTTCTTTTTACTCTGTACACTCCTAATCACTCCACTGGCTCACTTTCAAATAACTTCAACTCTAGTCCACATTTCCTTCCTAAGCTTTTTTATTCATGACCTCTGGGTCTTCACAAGGCTCTCACTCTAAAGACACACTAAACAGAATTCATCTTCCTTCCATCTGTGAAATCTTCCCTTGCTCACATGCTCTCTATCTTAGTAACTCCTCTACAAGCAATTATTCAAATCAGAAGTTTCTTTTTTATGACTGCTCTCACTATTTCTTACATTCGACATATTACCAATGAGCATAATTCATCAATTGTATTTTCAATTGATCCCTGCATGTCTCCTTTCTCTATCCTCACTATCCCATCCACATCCAGGTCACTGTCCTTTCTCATTTGTGTTTCTATGACAGCCACCAAACTGGTCTTCCTCCCTTCATTTTGGCCTCACTGAAATTGTTTTGTTTTTGTTGTTTTTTGTTTGTTTGTTTAGTTTTTCTCTGCAGCAGCCAGAGTGATCCTCTGAAAATATACTCCTGACAATGTCATTACTAGGTCTAGAACACTTCAGTGGCTTTGTCCAGAGCCAGTAGGACAGATATATTCCTGAACATGACTTCCTGCATATTCTTGTCTCTGCTTAACTTTCTGTCATCATTTCTGACCACCTCCCATTTTCTTGACTACTCTCTGTGTGTACAACTTTCTCCATTGTTTTTGTGATTTTGCAAATGCATTCCTTCACCTGAGATGTTTCTGGTTATTCTTCAGATATTGAAGTATATGTCATATCTTCTGACTAAGACTTATGCAAATTATTTCTGGTATATTCCTTCAATGCCCTATCTCCCACGGCCTTTTTTTCTAAGCTCTTATTTTTGTTCTTTCTGTGCAGTTTAACAATTGTTCAGTTTAATTACCAGAATTCCCTTGAAGATAATAACTACAATCTAGACAAAAAACATTTTACCTTAATATGCCCTAATCTTCCACAATCCAGATTATAGAGTAGGTATGTTACACTTATTTTATAAATGAAAATATAAATGGTAAGTGATTGCATGAAGAATAAAGTTATTTGTGCAAAAGTTTGTAGAATATTGGATTCAGAGCACATAGTGAGAGACCTTAGACTTAAAAATAAGAAAAGATCATTCTTCCCTGAAAGAAGAGAAATTAGAAGGTGAAGGAAGGAAAAGGAGAGAGTTACTACTAAATGGCTTTGGTCCTATCAGTACAGCAGGCAACAACACCATCTTTAGAGAGCAAATTAAAGATGTATATTTGTCGATTTGAGGAAGAGCAGGTGCTTTAAAATAGTTGTTGATAATAAATCTATAGTGATCTTAGAAGAAAATAAAACAATTTCTTAGCAACACTAGGGTTCTTGTTTAGGAAAAATAGCTTCAATTTATAGCAGATATATTTACTATGCGTACATGGGTTTTTAAACCCTTGCTTAAGTGTAAGGACAAAGGGGAAAAAACTGGGGATTTATATAGCTGCTACAGTGGAGATTCCAGCAGCCAAGAAATCCTAGATAATAGGATAGTTGGAATGACTGATTTTAAGGTTCGGATTGAATAAAGAGGTGATTCATCAGTGAGGGGATGAATACACTTAGAGAATAAGAGAGAGGGCTAAGACGACAAAACATAACAAGAAAGGGGAAGGCAATGTTTGTGGGACTGAAGAAGTAGAAAATGTGTGGTGAGCAGAGGTTTTGACCAAAAAGCAGATTTTCTAAATGTGAAACATTAGAAGAATGGCTCCTTTTAAATTGTTGGAAGAGATCAGCTAAAATCAAGGCCTATTATATTTGGAAATGGGAATGACTGTTTTTCAAGTCTGAGATATAACCTAAATTTCTTGAACACAAGTTATGTTAAATTGACAGTGTTTTTCTTGGATAGTCTCATTTTCTGTGTTAATGAATTTGGTTTTCATTTTCTGTGTGTACTTCTATTTTTTGGCTGTACCTGACACTGGATAAGATTGTTAATTCACCTGCAAAACTCCCCACATCTGTAGTTATCATATGTTAAAGCAGAGACTAAGATTGAAGGTCCTTTCAGCAATGAATATTCTTGATAATTTGATTGAGTTAGTTCCCACTAGAGTCCAGATTTGTAAGATAATAATTATCCTGACATATTTTAGAGAGGTCAGTGCAGTGCTCAATAACATCTTCACTCATGCCCAAACACCAAGAGAACATAAGACTCTGCACATGTAAAATATTGTTTTCTTTGTTGTCATTTTCGTGCTTTTAACATTGCTTTTGTTAGACTGTGACGTTCTGAGAACAAGGATTATATATTATGGATTATCTTTTCTACATGGCGTCTTGCACATACTTGTGATATAACAACAGGCAACTGAATTTAGTTACTCAGAGTTCTTTAAGTTATTCAAGTGTTTGTATGAACAACTACACTATTTTGGAGGTAATAGTAGACTAACTTCTCCCTCCATTGTTCCAGTGTTAAAGCAGAAGAATGTATGATTGTTTTCATTTTTATTCTGCAGTTGGATTATAATATCCTCAAACTTATCATGTGATGGAGGCTTCCTTTCAGTATCATCATAATAATATTAATATAGTGTATTTGTTAACATTTTACAAATTTGTTTCACATGTCTTAGGCTTAAAATATGTGTCTTTATGTTAACTATTTATGACAGACAAGGTGAATAGATCCCAGTTTGAAGTAACTCGATTTGAAATAAACATAATATGAAAATTATGCATCTGAGCTCAGAGAGGGAAGAGTCTTGTTAAAGGACACAGAAGCTGCAAGTGACTAAATTAAATCACTGCACAAACAGGTTTGTGTTACATATGTGCTCACATACAAACACACACACACATTTCTGGAGCCTAACTTTACCAATGTGATTGTAATTCTTTAGTTTGTGACAGTAATTCCTAACATGTCACATTAATTATTCTGCTCACCATCCATTATGAGAAAATATACTCCTCATTATACATGCATATTTACATATATAATAGATATGTATGCATATGAACAAGTAGGAATTTTTGAACAAAAGAAAGCTTTGAACAGTTATCCAGGTTAAAGTAATATATTATTGTATGGATCTTTAAAAAAAATCTGGTGCTAAGCAATTCTACTTTAAAATTATTATTCTCCTACTCTTGTTCACTGGCACACTGAGCTTTAAATATGAACAGGCAGTATTTCATATGTTTCACGTTATTTCCAGAATCTGTACAATTTGCCTAAAAAGGATAGTAAAGTTTGGCCTTGTGAAATATAGTTGAATGCATGGTCCCAGAGCAAATATTAAAAGGTTACAAGCATAGGACACATGATAATGATGATTATTCACAGGTGTAAAGATCAGGACTAAATAACTTGGATTATATGTGGATAAAGCTAGTTTCAAGTTCTGATCTCTTCCTGGTCTCTTAAGAATGGTGCTGACCTGTACGTGTATATTTCATTGTTACCTGGATAAAATAATACACTAAGGAATAAATGTAGATTATTGTAAGAATATAAATGTCTGCAGTATCCTAAGTGCCTTCAGTGAGGTACCCTTAGGTTCATAGCACATAGTTTCTTAAGGCTATGAAACTATTACATATTTTATATAGTTTGTGAGACACAGGCATATCAACCCAAGAACATTCAAAAGTTCTCTTTTAAGTGGAGCTCTAAATGTCCCTGATACATATTCTGCATAACCTAGGCAGTCCCCTCCCCTCACCATTTTTCTTTTCTTTTCTTGTTGCACAGATATTCATGACTGCCTATCATGTTTTAAGCTTTAGGTTCACCGCATCAAAAAAAAAATACAACAAATCCCTATTTTCATGGAACGTATATTTCATTGGGGTGGCGGGGGAGACAGACATAAGCAAAGGAAGATTAGATAGACAAATGGATAGATTAATCAATAAATACTTTGGGAGATGTATCATATCAGACAATAAATCCAATTAAGATATTGGAGAGTTTGGAGAAGGAGTGATAGAGCAGAGGTTCATTCTGGCTGTTGTGTGGAGACAAGGGTTGGTAAGGTAGAAACTGAGAAACTAGTTAGGAATCTACTTTAGTAATTCATACTGGCAGTAGTGTCCTGAGGGAAAGTGGTATTGAAGAATGTGGAAAGAAATGGAGATAAATAGGGATATGCTGATAGATAGAATGTTGGGTATGAGAGAAAGGGAGAACTCAAGGGTGACCGGGATTTTTTCCTGTGTATCCAGTGGAACGACACTGCCATTTACAGGAAAGGGGAATGACAGGAGAGGATTTGTTTTATTTTATATAGATTTCACTTTTCCCTTCCCACTCAGTCTTTGCTGAAAACTGAAATAGACCTATTAGTATTTTGATTTAAATTCTTACGCTTAAAAGAAAGAATAACAATGGTGACAGCAATAAGTAATATTTGATAGTACTTATAGTTTGCAAAATATTTTAATATCCAGTGATGGATCTGCAATGTATGATCACTCTAAAGATTTCTTTCTGCACCTACTCCTAACCTTCAGAACAAAATACAAAAATTTTTCTAGAGATATAAGGTATTTTATAAGATACTTTATAATGCATAAAAAACAGTTAATATGTACCTACAAAATGGAAAAAGGAAAGATACGTTTCTTGAAATATATCAATTAAGAGTTAAGAAAAAGTAAAAATGGACCATAAAGAATGGTATTATTTATTAAGCTGTGAATTAATATATATGCTATAATTTGTCTCTCAGATCCAAGGTTCATTAGTGCCCACCTCATCCCAGAGAGTGACAATCCTGAAGATGACAAAGTATACTTTTTCTTCCGTGAAAATGCAATAGATGGAGAACACTCTGGAAAAGCTACTCACGCTAGAATAGGTCAGATATGCAAGGTGAGGTAAAGAAAAAAAAAATGAGAAGGATGTCATTTTCCCATAACGACTTTGCTTTTTAAAATTTTCTACCTGTGTGCACATGCAATAAAATTTTGGCTACAGTTTGACTGATATAACAAATAAATGGTAAATAATGATTGAATATTATAGTTGGTTATGAGTAACTCTACACAGTCAAATATGCAGGTAGAGGTTGTGAGGTAACTGGCATTGTTTCATAATTACATTACATAATATCTGTTTGAAATTCTAGAGTAATAAAATGATTTTATTTTACCTGGGAGAAGATAATTTAAGGTTTTTCAGTCCTAGCACAGTTTTCGATGCCTTGTAAGTTTGTTAGTTTTTGTTTTGTTTTGAGACAGAGTCTTGCTCTGTCCCCTAGGCTGGAGTGCAGTGGTACAATCTCAGCTCACTGCAAACTCCGCCTCCCTGGTTCAAGTGATTCTCCCACCTCAGCCTCCCAAGTAGCTGGGATTATAGGCACCTGCTATCACACCTAGCTAAGTTTTGTATTTTTAGTAGAGGCGGGGTTTCACCATGTTGGCCAGGCTGGTCTTGAACTCCTGATCTCAGATGATCCGCCCCCTTCGACCTCCCAAAGCGTTGGGATTACAGGCGTGAGCCACCGCGCTCGGCCTACCTTGTAAGTTTTGAATAAATATTTGTTGTTGGAAGATGTGAAGTATTCATTTAAGAGAGAAAAACATGAAAGCTCGTTTGTACAAACTGATTGTAGCATCCTATGTACACATATACACACAGCACACACACAAACACCCATACAAAAACAATTTTGAAGCTGTGAGCTTTACCTATCTGAGGTATTTCACTCATTGTATGGCTTAATGTCAAATGTAATATTGCATTATACTGTTAGATACATGGAAAAAAATTGCTCAACAAACATAGATTAATTAGTATCATCAGTGTGAAAATACAATAGTGCCATTTGTTTCCCTCTATGGTGCATAGTGCAGTATTTATGCAATATGAAAAAGTTAACTGTTAGTATATATTAAAGCACCCTTCAAATAAAGAAAATCATAAGCCACATTCCATGATCATCTTAAAATTGAATTCTGTCTTTTGAAGAAAGCATCCTGAAATTTAAAAAATCTGTTTCTTTCTATGTGTGACCTGTTACCCCAATATGATCTAATTATTATCTCTAGTGTATTCAATTACTAAAAAATTAAAAGTTTTCAACACTTGAAAACATACAAATAACATGTGAAGTGAGATTTTTTTCTCTACAAAAAACATGTCATATTTAAAAGCACTACTTTCAAGGCTTAAAAAAATCTTTAAGGTGTATAAAAGTATATAAACAAAATATAAATCAGTTTTACTCTAAAGGAGCGTGTTCTCTCAATATATGTACATAAATATCATTTTTGAAAACTATAGTTTCTAGTAAACACCTACCACAATAATAGAATTTATTACTATGCTTAGGTTAAATCAGTTTTCTTCAAGGTGAGAAGCCTTTCAAAATGTTTTCTCTGGAATGAGTTTCCTTTATTAAGGGTTATTCAAATATTTTCTCAACGTGTTGTTTGTAAAACATAAATTGCTTCAACTCCTTCAGCTTATGAAATATTTGATGCTAGCATGCTTTTGTCTGAGATCTATTTTTTTGTATGGGTACTTAAGGCATATGTTTATCATGCATTCTTTAAATACTCACTGAATGCCTACTGTGTACAAGCACTGGCTGTGAACCCGCCTATGTTGGTAAGATCTCAATGCACAGTAGGAAGGAGACAGAGCATTATACCAAAACAAAACGAATTCATTCATTGCAGAGTAGAAAGGAAAGTTAAGTGATTTTTAAGATTCTCTTATTTATTTTAATAGACAATAAAAATTGTATATATTTACTGTGTGCAATATGACGTTTTAAAATGTGTAGGCATTGTGAAATAGCTAGATCATGCTAATTAATATGCATTATCTCACATACTTATAATTCTTCATGGTGAGGACACTTAAAATCTACTCTTTTCACAAATTTCCATAATATAATTCATTGTTATTAATTAAAGTCATGATGTTGTACAATAGATCTCTTAAACTCATTTCTTCTATCTAAGTGAAATTTTGTATCTTGGACCAAATCTCTTCATCCCTCCCCCAAAGCCCCTGGTAACCACCGCTCTACTCTCTGCATCTTTGGGTTCAGCTTCCTATATTCTACATATAAGTGAGGTCACGTGGTATCTGTCTTTCCGTGCTTATCTCATTTCTCTTAACATAATGTCCCCCGGTTTATTCATGTTGACTCAAATGACAAGATTTCCTTCTTCTTGATTTTTATTTTTAAACTGTAAATTGATAATTATGACTACATAAATTTATGATTACAAAGCAATGTTATGATTTATGAATATAATGTGGAATAATTAAATCAACTAGTTAACACACCCATCACCTCAAATACTTATTTTTTGTGGTGAGAACATTTGAAATTTACTCTCTTACTATGATTTTGAAATGTATAATACATTATTATTTATGATACCACATTGTGCAACATATCTCAAAGAGAAAACTGTTTCTTCCACTTATCTACTTGATTTCCTTTGTTTTAAGGCTGAATTGTAGACCATTGTGTAAATGGACTACAATTTCTTTATCCATTGATCTGTAGATGAACATGAATTGATTTTATAAGTAATCCCTTGAATAAATAAAGGAACTACTCACAATAAATATCCCTTAAAAAGTCAAAAAAACTTGAGGGAATGATTTGACCACAAATGTAACAATAAGTGATAGCTACCTATATCTGGTCATTTAAAATGATTGGGAACTTTTAAAACATGAATAACTGTATTTTATGTTTGTCTGAAGATACGAAGAAAACAGAAATATTTGAAATTATCATTTGCATTCACAGTGCCTAATACTGGTGTTCCCTTCTTTCAGAATGACTTTGGAGGGCACAGAAGTCTGGTGAATAAATGGACAACATTCCTCAAAGCTCGTTTGATTTGCTCAGTGCCAGGTCCAAATGGCATTGACACTCATTTTGATGAACTGCGTAAGAAGCTAGTGTTTATGTATAGAGAATATTTGTTCAGACTTTGCCATTCCATAAAAAAGCAACTTTCTCCAATTTTGTTTTTAAACAGAGGATGTATTCCTAATGAACTTTAAAGATCCTAAAAACCCAATTGTATATGGAGTGTTTACAACTTCCAGGTAAACAACTTTTTAACTACCTTATAGAAACTTCATGTTATTTAGGGGGTACCCAAGTACCCATAATTTGTGAAAGTATATTTTTGAAAGACAAGTGTTGCTTTAACCTTTGAGCTGTTGTGTATTCTTGGGTGACTGAAAGAAGTTATGATCTATGTAGATGTTTGTTTTTTAAATGAATTTTAGACAAAAAATCATCATTGTAATGATGTGAATGTGTTATGGTGAAACAGTTTGAAATGGTTATGTCATCTTATGCATATCTTTGACTTTAAACCTTGAATAAAATGTAAGATATTATAGAGATGGAAGTCTGAGGTTTGGGAAGAGTTTGTAGGGATACAAATTAAGGATGGAAAAATTAATTTAAATTTGTTGAAAATATGACGGAAACAATTCTCTGTCTCTTGATCTCTCTGTCACTTTAGTCAATTGCTAATGAACGAGATAAGAGAAAAGCTCATCAGCAATTGCACTGAAAGTCCTATCTTTGACCAGATGATTAGTATGGGAATCTGGGGACAAAATACATCTAGAAATGTCAAAACAGTTCATGGTTCTTCCCAGTATGTCTATTCCACAGATGGGATATTTGCTACGCTTTTCTTTGGTCTTTAAACCTTTAACCCTAGAACTAAACTAGAAATGTATATGTTTGGAGAAAGTTGATTGTTTACAAAAAAAAATTTTTAATTGCCTTTAGGTAATTAAAAAATTATTAATACAATCATCACCTCTCAACCTTTAAGATTGTGTGAAACTTAATACAGCAATTGAAGACCCTTTGCGTAGTATAAATAGTTTTAAAACTTTTTAAGTCAGTAAATAGATTATCTTTGTAAAAAAATCTACTATTTTTTTTCTGAGACTCCATTTGGTTTTTTATTATCTACCTTGTAACACAGATTTTAAAATAATCTTGTAAAAAGACATAAAATAAACAAACAGAAACCTTCAGCATTACAGCACTAGGGTTACATTATAACCACATAAAAAGACAATAAAAACAAACAAGAATCTTCAGCATTACAGCACATAATAAAAACAAACAAAAACCTTCAGTGTTACAGCATGATTTTTTTATTATTATTTTTTATTTTTTGGAACCAGTGTCAAACTCAAACTTAATTTCCTTGTCCTTTTATCCCCTTTTATCCCTGCCCTGCTTTTCCTGCTCTTTCTCTACTGGCTCCTTCCCTTCTTCTTTCCCCTTCTTCTTCCTCTTTTTCTCTCTCTTCCTCTTGCCTCCTTCCCTCTTTCCTCACACTTCTCCTTTTCCTATTTTTCATGGTCCCCAAGTCTCTTGCTGTCAATTAAGCAGAGATTATTTCCCTCCAGACTATTACATTCAGTATAAAGTTCACGTTATACTGTACGTGTATACATGTACATTTGAAAGAAATACATGTACATTTACATGCATATAAAGAAGGATCTGCATTGGGATGTGGACGAAATGTTAAAAGAAAAATAATTTAAAATCAAAAGTCAGAACAAGCACTGCAAGTAACTTTGATAGTAAAGAAAATGATTAACTGCAATGTCCAACACTGTTTTATTCTGTGACTATTAAAGCCACTACAAATTGCTTGGATGTTTTACTCAATAATTTTTAAAAATCACATAAAAATTAAGAAATCTGTATGTCTAAAACTATTTGAAGTTCTTCATACCTAAATAATATTTCTTCCCTTTGGAAAAAAAAAAAACAGAATGACTAAGCTATAGAACTTAAGAGACTCAAACAAATATTAATCCATTTCTTCTGGTTCCTCACTGCTTAGTGCAGTGGCTCAAATTTAAGTCTCTCCTAGAGAGCATGATAAAATTCAGATTCCTAGGCCTTGCCTCCAGAGTTTCTGACTCAATAGAAATTAAATGCGATCTAAGAATGTGCAGTTCACACAAGTACCCAGGTGATGCCCATGCTGTTTGCCACCTTCTGAGAGCTAGAGATAAAATAATTTCACCTCTTTATTTCAATAGAATGGATATTTGTATGTGAGTCTTAATAGCTACATATCATATTCCTTAAGTATTTCGATGATAGCTGATTTAATCAAAGATAAGCAAAGTAAAGAACAACGGAAAGGGGATATATAACCCAAACATTACACGGTGTGATGTATCAAGTATGCACTATTTGCTATTTGTTCTGCTATGAAAATGTTACCAAATTCTATAAGTATTTATTGAGGTTTACTCTCTGAAATGCCATATGATATATAATTCAGGTAGCCGAAAAGAAGCCAGGCATGGTCTCTTCCCTCATGAAGCTTAGAGTCTATGAAACGCTGTCTATATGCAGCAGTTTCCAATAATAAACTGTAGAGAGCACATGTTGTTCATTCAGTCTGATTTATATGTAATTTTCAAGGGGGAAAGTTTGGTTAAAAGATAAGCATTCCATATTTTAAATGTGCACAACTGTTTAATATCTTTGCATAAATACATTACTCAAGCCGCATTTCTATAAGCCTAATAAAATGGAAAATTGTGGCAATTCAGTGGCTTGCTTCCAGTTTACCTGATTTTTTGTTTAGCGAACAAAATTTTTGTTTAGTGAAATGATGAGCATAATTGCTGTAATTATCCACTTTAATTGAGTGAAATAGTTACTAACATAATTATTTTCTGTGTTAGAAAGAGCTGATTTTAAGTGTCTTCACAAGAATCAACTTCCTACTTGATCTAATACTTTTGGGAATTTAAAAATAATATAATGTGACACATCATTTGACACTATTTTTTGTACTAGTTTCAGCCTACAAAGTGAGTTCTTAAACATTCTTGCTAATTTAAAAGTTTCCTGGGTTCTGTAATAATGCTTGAGACTTAATCTACATTTTAAAAAATTTCCCCATGATATTAAAATTACATATTCATTTATAGCTTATATGTATTTGTTTTTCCTATCAAAACCTAGTACTCTATGTTTCATATGAAGGCATATATTCTGAGTAGTAAAGCCATTTTCAGCTATGCCTTCTATTTTTAAGAAATCACATTTTTTTGTTCTTTTGTGTATTGTTAAATGCATATACGTGACTAGAAAAATCCTAAACATTATTGCTAACAATTTATATTTATATTTTAATAAATATCAAAAATGTAAGAACTCAGTATCAGTATTTCCCTTACCATTGTATAAAGATGAACATCTGTTTTTATTCTTGCTGTCTTGTTCAGTAACATTTTCAAGGGATCAGCCGTGTGTATGTATAGCATGAGTGATGTGAGAAGGGTGTTCCTCGGTCCATATGCCCACAGGGATGGACCCAACTATCAGTGGGTGCCTTATCAAGGAAGAGTCCCCTATCCACGGCCGGGAACTGTAAGTAGCTTAGGTGTTTATGAGATGAATATATTTCTGCCAAAGGCCAAAAAACAATGCAGTTACAGACAGATGTTAAATGTATCCTGTAATGTAAAAAAAAAGATTTCAAGATTATAAATTAAAGCAAGACAAAGATTTTCCATGAGTGAATGAAATTTCACATTTAAAAACATGTTCTTTACAGATGTCTCTGCTTAAATTCAGTGTAAGATATAAATCTAAAATTATTAAATCTTATTTTAATTTTTGATCACACATTTCTAAATTTTTGCAAACTATTTTTTACATGGTAGTAGAGAAGTGCAGAAATAATTTTCAATCTCATGAAAATACACTTTATCGTGTCTTCCAGGTTTTTACATAACATTTTTGATATTTCTATAACCTTAATTTTATAATTTACATACAAAACAAGAAATACAACCTCACATTCCTTAACTGTTATATTGTTGTACTATTGTGCATCTATATACACATACATAGACATATATATGTGTGTATTTATATATACTCCTCCCATTTCAAAACACATTCATTTTATTTCTCATGAATTATTAATCTTTTTCAAGCTAGTGGCAAAGACAATTGATTTCTCATTCTAAGCTCCTTGTAAGATCAAGAATCTCTCATAATTACATTTTAGCTCCCAAGCTTTTACATTAAATGGTAGAAATTACTTAAGTGTAAGACTAAAAGCAAGAGATTGGAGATATTGTACTCTATAAATGCTTGCACTGCATCAATAACTATAGTGAAAGGAGGTGGTGAAATCTTAATTTGTCATTTTTGTTGTATTGTCTTACACAGAGTGTTTACATCCAGAGGTGAGGTTATGCCAGTGCAAAACCAGCATCTTTCTGGCTGCTGGGGCCATTTTCTCTTCTGCTTGGTCATGACGTGCATTCTGATTGGTCACTTTTTGTGCAATGCAGATTGTTAAACACTTTGAATAACACTTTTGCTTATCACTGGGATTATTTTATTTATTACATTTCTCGATGGTACTTTTTTAGCATTATGTTAGAAACAAAACAATAAAGAATATATTTTTTTTCAGTTTGAAAAGAGAATTTGTATTTTAGCATGATGCCATAGTAAAAAGTTAAATGTATTCAATAAAATTATTCTGAGTATCTCTAATTCAAAGATTAATTGCATTTAGTTGTAGTATATTCCATTCATTATGTCAAATACTTCACCTATTTTACTAATAACACTCATGCTTGTGGCACTAATAGAGGCACCAAACTTCTCCTGTACACTGAATTCATTACATATATTTGTAATTTTGCCTAAGAATTAGTGACATAACTAAATCTCACTGAGAATTAAGATATATTTGGGAAATATATACTATATATTGCACTACTCTTTTCCTTTATTTTATTTTTGAGACAGATTCTTGTTCTATTGCTTAGGCTGCAGTGCAATGGCATGATCTCAGTTCACTGAAACCTCCGCCTTCCAGGTTCAAGCAATTCTCCTGCCTCAGCTTCCCAAGTAGCTGGGACTACAGGCATGCACCATCACGCCCAGCTAATTTTTGTATTTTTAGTACAAATGGGGTTTTGCCATGTTAGGCCAGGCTGGTCTGGAACTCCTGGCCTCAAGTGATCCACCTGCCTTGGCCTCCCAAAGTGCTAGGATTACAGGTGTGAGCTATCATACCTGGCCTGAACTGCTATTTTAAGTAGAACCATTGAGGCCATGTGTTATTATATGATGTACAGTTATGTTTATTAGATTTTAATCAAAGGATACTGTTCTCTTTATCATAATAGTGTCCCAGCAAAACATTTGGTGGTTTTGACTCTACAAAGGACCTACCTGATGATGTTATAACCTTTGCAAGAAGTCATCCAGCCATGTACAATCCAGTGTTTCCTATAAACAATCGCCCAATAATGATCAAAACGGATGTAAATTATCAATTTACACAAATTGTAGTAGACCGAGTGGATGCAGAAGATGGACAGTATGATGTTATGTTTATCGGAACAGGTAAATTTTTAAATTTCAACTGTAAACTTTTTTCCAGAACACTATGTTTAAATGATTAAGTAAAGTTGATCTTTGAACATCACAGGGGTTGGGGTGCCAACTCTCTGTGCAATTGAAAATCCACATGTAACTTTTGATTTCCCCAAAACTTAATTACTAATGGCCTACTGTTGACTGGAAGCCTTACCTATAACATAAACAGTTGATTAGCTTCACATATTGTATGTCATATGTATTAGAGATTGTATTCCTACAATAAAATAAGCTAGAGAAAAGGAAGTGTTCTGAAAATTATAGGGAAGAGAAAATATATTTAATATTCCTTAAGTGGAATTGGATCGCCATTGTCTTCCTGTTGAGTAGGTTAAAGAGAAGGTAGAGTAACAGTTGGCATTGCTCCCCCAAGGGTGGTAGGAGCAGATGAAAATTTGTATATAAGTGGACCCACACTGTTCAAATCCACGTTGTTCAATGTTCAAATGTATACTAAGAACTGAGGCCAGTTTCTATAGTTACCTTCAAGGTATAATTCACCTTTAATAAATAAGTAAATAACATGAATATTCTTTCATTTCAAATTTATTATCTTTTCAGACAAGCTGAGACATACTAATTTAAAATAAATTCCCTTTTCAGTGAAAAGTTGGTAAGTTTAATCAGGTAAAGCTAATGATTAGGTAAGCAATCAATATTTATAATTGCATCATAACTCTTCTGGCCAGTGGCTTTTTAGAACAAAGATATATTACTCAAGTTCTGCCTTAAATTCCCAAGACATTCAATAATAGTTTCAGAATATTAGTGCAAAATTATTTGAACTTTAAAATTACAATAATGTGAACATCGTCTAGTAAATAAATGTTAGCAATAAAATTTTTCCAGTGTTTCTGCCATACAATGAAAAGAAAAAAAAAATTCATTAGAAAAACAACATAATTGATTCAAATAAGTCTTAGATACATTTCTATGGACATGTAACAATTCATTTTACTAATTCCATAATTAGAAACAGACTTTTTCAGGTATATTTTAAGAATGAATTCCATTGTTATTATGATATATTATTTTATTTTGTTCCCTGCTCTTTTTAATAGTAATACTATTTTTGAAAGTCCTAGTTACAAATCTGATACTTGCTACTTAGGGTCAGATTCCAAGGTAATAAATTTCTAGTCTCCATTAACGCTGTTAACTGACATAAATCAATGGGGAACAGAGTGAGTGCTCCACTGAAACCTTGTATAATAACATTTATTTTCCCTTAGTGAGAAACAGAAAAAAAAAAATTGCATTAACTACAGGGGAATGGCAACCATATAGTAAGTGCTTTAAAGACTTAAAGTTTTATAACAAAATTGTGAAATACTTATGTTATCAGGTGTAACAGTGTCAGGTTCTGAGCAATACATTAAAGTCCACTTTTATGAGTGAGAAAGTTTCTCTACCAAATAAAAGAATCTCAAGCAGACCCAGGGTTTCATAAAAGTCAATGAATTGCAAGTATCAATTTCTGGTTATAAATATCCTTAGAACATATAAGAAATAGTATTTCTCTCAGATAAATATTAGTTTATCATTCAACATCAAATTATAATTTCTTTTCTTTTCAGAGTAATTAAGTTTGTTCAGTCATGTCACACTTGCCTTTTCCTTCACCTCTGGCTTAAATGTATTGAGAAGTCTCTCACTGTCAAAGCAACAAAGCTTGCTTCCGGGTATTTGACCAAATAAACCTAATCATGAGCTTTTAATTCCTCTTGGACGCAACATGTCTTTAAAGGCACCAATTTCATGAGTGTGTTGACTGTCTGATGATTTGGATGTCTATCGGTCAGTACAGACCAGGGTCATCTGTCAGCAAAGTAAACTGATTACAGTAATTTTATCTTTTAACTAAGTTGCACATCATAGTATATTGATCCTAGTTGAGTAATCTGATTCAATTTGTGTGAAATTGTTTGAAATACTACTCAGTAAAACTTGATCTGGAAAAGAGATAAAGCTGTGTTTGGGTACCAGAGACCTGATCAGAGGCACTGAGTAGATTAACCTAATTTACCTTTAATCTTTAGTGTTATGAGTAGCCTAAGGTCCTGTAAATATAGAAGGATCTTCTTAAAAGTGTACTGTTTTTTGGTTTAACTTTACAAGGGATAAATTAGCAACCTTTCTTGATCTCATATAACATATCGTGTTGGTTCTCTAAAAATAGTTATCAATGAATTATTTTTCTCATATAATTTATTCTTCGTTGACAAGATTTTCTTCACAATTACTTTGTTGAACTTGATTAAAAGGAACCAATTGAGGCCAACTAGATTTGATCAAGTTTAGTCAGAACTAGAAGGCTGAAGAGTACAATTTTTGAATTTAATAAGCCCCTGTTCCTCATTCCATCAAGGAACAGGAACATACTTGTAATACTGGAAAATTAATAACTTTTAAGCCCAACTTAAAATAAGAGTGACAACCCTTGTTATTAAAACAAGTTGTCTCTTTCAAAAATGCAAATTAGGAAAACAAATAAGGTTTGAAATCTCTATAAAATGTGTTCAATATTTTTATGCTTTTGGCTTCTGAATGATAAATTTCCTTAATGCTCTAAAATGGAATAACCAAAGTGTGCATTTTTGAAAGACCACAGCAATAAGTAATCCTAGGTGTTAACTTTGAGAAATCGGGTTATTGTCATTCATCACATAATGGCCATTGAGCCATCATTAGGAACTTCTAAGTACTAAAGACTTTTAGATGACAAGATGAGCAACCAGGGCTCTGAAGCTCTGACTACTTCCGTTGCTTGACAACATTCCTTGCATTTTTCATTTATATTGAGTCTTCATAGTAGGACCCTGATTTTGTAATAAAAGTGGAAGAACCTGTCATGACAAACTGATATTATTTTTAGGTTTTGTTTCAGAGACACCAGGCAATTAAGGAGATATTTTTAGAAATAATGAAAAGAATTGATCCAACCCAGGCAATCTCTGTAATAATTATTATATTTTTAAAAATGTATGCAGTCTCATGGTAAAACCTTCTTCAAGGCTTAACATATTTCTAAAAATTCAGTCTTTTATATTCCAAGTTTGTCTTTATAGTTTACCCTTATACTTTGTCTAACTGCAAGAAATGCATTCGAATATGTATTTTACTCGTGTTTTGATCAAAAAATAAATTAAAAGGAAGACTGATATCAAAGGTTCTTTGTCTGACAAATACATATTTCATTCATTAACACTAAACTCTGTTCAGATCTACTTAACTTGTGGTCTTCTCCCCTCTTTCTTTCAAAGATGTTGGGACCGTCCTTAAAGTAGTTTCAATTCCTAAGGAGACGTGGCATGATTTAGAAGAGGTTCTGCTGGAAGAAATGACAGTTTTTCGGGTGAGTGCTGCTTAATTTCAAGTGTCAACAAGTTCAGTTGTACGTCTTTCCCCCAGGACAGCTGCACACCGAACTTGGTATGGACAAGTAGTCTAGCATACATACCCTTCTAATTAGCTTGTCAATTAGAAAACCAGACACTAGTCAAAATAAACCTTGAAACTTTCAATGCTGGTTAAACCTAAAGATGTAAAGAAATATAGTTTTGGCTCATATTTTGTTTTCTCAATGATAAAATATATTATTTACATTTTATATTATTTATGTAAGTTACCTCAATGAACAAACTCTTCCGCACTCCTAAAATCTATTTTACACATGATAGTATAACTGAAATGATATGTAACTTCTATGAATGTACTAAAGGAAATACATTCAGAATGACAGAATAGTGAAGACATTTTAATCAATTTTTAGCTTATGTATGAATTATTTTATATTTTCTTAAAGAAATCATTTGTTAGCAAAAGAAAATTTGAGAGATCTATATCACTGACAGTAAATTTGTTATAGATTCCTAGTCTACATGCTTAAGAAACGTACAGATATTAGTCCCATTATCCTGAATCACAGACAGCCTAGGGGAGTTGTATAGGGTTGGAGGAATGGGGGTACAGGTGAGAGGGGTGTTGGGTGGGTGAAGGGAAAGAGGAGAACTGGAGTAGTCTAACATATACCACATGTCTGTTATTCCTTTTGGGAAGTCAGCTAATAGAAATAGTTTAAATTGAAGCACATCTTGAGATGATTAATGACATATGATGGAAAAATATATGCTCGTAAATGTGTTATTTGAATTTTTTGATAAAAGAATAGAGCAAACATCTGTTGAGACATTTATAACTGCAAAAACAAACAAACAAACAAAAAAACAAACAACACCAAAACCGTGTATTAGAAGAAGTTGGTAGACAGAAAAATGAGAAAATATTGCATCTAGTCTGACAACTTCAAGTGATCTCATTTAGTCTTCAGGTGTCTGTGGTAGTTTACCTATGAAATGAATGGGCTTCATTAAAATTTTCAGTTGATTCAATATTTTAATGGTAAGCAGTTTTCCCAAGATGTCTTACCCCCAATACTTTCATACCTATATACAATAAGTTATTCTTCCCTCTTCAGTAGTATTTTAAAGAAAAAATGAAGTATAATATGGAAAGCTTCTAATACATAGTCATTCAACTGGCATTATAATTAACATTGAAACATATAACTGGTGAATTGTAACATAGATGTTTTATGATAACAAGCTACACAATGTTCTACTGGAAAGGGTTTAGACTCTACACTCATATCTACATGACAAATCCATTTGGAACACTTAAACCATTCCTCTGAACTTCACCATCAGTAAAACAGTGAGCATAATACCTATTTCACCAGGACACTGGAAGACTTAGAAACACTGTAAGTCATGCATCAAAGACAATAACAGGCACTTAGCTCAAAATGTCATTGCTAATATAATTTTATTATTTTAGTTTAGCTAAACTGAAAATGAGCTACATTCCCAGTAGCCTTTCCTACTAATTCTTGGTTTAAGTCTTCAAAATAATAAAATAATCATAATTCTATTATGATTTTTACAATCAGGCACATTAGCCTTATTTATTTATAATAATTTGTATGCTAAAGTATCAAAGTGATCTAATTTATCAGTTCGGTATAGAATGATGACTAATCCTTATCAATCACCATGTCCCATACGTTACCCCAATGAACAAACACATTGGTACTTTATCTTAGAAATTAAAAACAACAACAGCTAACAACTATCCAAATGGACTCTGTTTGGCCACTATAGAGTATGTTTAGATTTAGAAAACTATACGAGCACTCAGGGGTGGATATATAAATTGCTGTCTTGTCTTTATTGTTACATCTCCAAAACCTAAAATGTCTTTTAAACCAACATGTATTAAATGAGTGAATTAATTAGTATTGATGAAAAAGTGAAATACAAGAAATTAAAGAATTTAAGGCCTTCTTCAAGGAGACGATGCTTAAAGTGAGGTGCCCAAGTATGAGAAAAATAAACTAGGAACAGTCACAAGTTATCATCCTGATTCTGCACGATATTATTCTCCAGTAGAAAACCTTTACCAACATATATTTGGAGACAAATTTTGCCACTACTGTTGTAAATGAAGTTACAGGAGACACTAAAATACGGTTATCTTAGTAATTTCTAATTTCCAGAATCTCTTACTTTTGCATTTGTCATGGTTCCTTTGCATATTTCCTTTCAGCTATAATACATTTTTAAAACAGGGTTCATTAACTAATTTCCACTGTAAATAAATGTATATTAGTAGATATGATGGGACTGGCACAATGCTAAATTCTGGTGATACAGAGATGAACACTATAAAAGTGGTCTCTGACTTCATGCAGCTCAAAGACTATGATGTGTTATCAATCTCAGTTTCTAGGACTTACTTTTCTACCTATTAATGCAATTACATTTTATTTTGTAGAATTGTATCATATCACGACATTGTAAAAATAAGGTTATTTTTTATTATTTAATTATTTTCTGATATTATGAATTAGAATGTGCATAATTTTGCAGTGATATTGTATCTTAGTGAATTTTTATTATTTATATCTCCAGGGATTTTAAGTTTATATTTCACATCTTGGCTATGTTGTTTAGTACATTAATAAGAATTTTAATTTAAAAAGGTGTTAATTTAAACTGACCTACTAAAAGACTTTTAACAAAATTATGAAAATTATGAGATGTTGGAAATCAACAATCTTGCGAGTATAGTCATGCACTGCATAACAACATTATGGACAAGAATAAATCCCACATATGACAGTGGTCCCATAAGATTATAATGGGCCTAAAATTTCCTGTTGCCTAACATTTTCAATAGTTTACTTTCTGTTGTTATTTTACATTGTACTCCTTCTACTTATAAAAAAATTAATTATAAAACATCCTCAGGCAGATCGTTCAGGAGGTATTCCAGAACGTAGCATTGTTATTGTAGGAGATAATGTGTTATCTCCTATAATATAGAGATATCAAATATATGTGCTATTGACCCTGAGGTCCTTCATGGAGGTGAAAGACAGAGATATAGATAGAGGATCCTTACCCTGTGTAGGCCTAGGCTAGTGTATGTGTTTATGTCTTCATTTTTAACAAAAGGAGTTTAAAAAGTAAAATAATAATAACAAATTTTAAATACAATAATAGTTCATAGAACAAGAATATAAGGAAAGAAAACATGTTGGGACAGGTGTATAATATGTGTTTTAAGCTACGTGTTTTTACAAAAGAGTCAAAAAGTTTTAAAAATTCAATAGTTTATATTGTAAAAAATTTACAGAAAGCTAAGATTAATGTATTACTGAAGAAAGAAAAATGGTGACTACAAAGTCTACAGTGGTGTATAGCAATGTCCTAGGCCTTCACATTCACTCACCACTCACTGACTGACTTGACCAAAGCAACTGCCAGTCCTGCAAGCTCCATTCATGATAAATACCCTACACAGGTGTACCATTTTTAAATCTTTTCGACCATACATTTATTGTACCTTTTCTATGTTTAGATACACAAATACTATTGTATTATGATTGCCTAAAATATTCAGTACAGTAGCATGCTATACAGGTTTGTATCCTAGGAGTAACAGACTGTATCATCTAGCCTAGGTAGTAGGTAAGTGTACTTTATGATTTTTCATACAATGACAAAAATCACGTAATGATGTGTTTCTCAGAATGTATCTCTGTCATCAACCCATACATGATGGTACAAGTATTTAATATCTATTAGATTTTTTTTTTTTAGCTTTTTGCAGTTTCCAGAGAAATACATAACCTACTTATACCTTTGATAGCTATTAGATGACATTTGTGTAGCATTTAAGATATCATGCAGTGGCTCACGTCTGTAATTCCAGCACTTTGGGAGGCCGAGGCGGGCGAATCACGATGTCAGGAGTTCCAGACAAACCTGGCCAGGATGGTGAAACCCCATCTCTACTAAAAATGCAACAAATCGTCTGGGTGTAGTGGCGGGTGCCTGTAATTCCAGCTCCTCAGGAGACTGAGGCACAATAATAGTTTGAACCTGGGAGATGGAGATTGCAGTGAGCCAAGATTGCACCGCTGCACTCCAGCACTGGTGATGGAGTAAGACTCCATCTCAAAGAAAAAAAAAAAGTTTCATTATTATCAATCTGTAACAATTAAATGCAAATGAATACTATTGTGCTGGCATGGAAATGCTTGTTTCGGACTTTACAATTTTGGAAAGAGATTGTGCGTGAACAATATTCCTTTGATAGAAAACCATTTGAGTTCTCTTCTATAGTCTCTGCTATGCATTATTGTCATTATTATTTCTTTGGCACTCAAGTAGACAAAACATATTTGGGCAGAGTTTAGAGAAATATTTACTTTCAACATTCTATTCTATCAGGCAAAGTTCATACATATATTGTGGTCTAGCAATTGGAATATTTCACTGTCAAACTTTGTTTAATTTTACAGTGGGAAGGAAGAAAAACCCCACAACACATTAAAGCCATAGCTATATACAGTGAAATAAGCAGACAAATTTTACTGTTTCTTTGTTTCTATTTGAGCCATGTAAGGCAATCCATTTAAAATAAAATACTATAAAAAAGGTCAGGGATTATTTGACAAGGTAAATAGAAAAGTTAAAGATTTAGGGTAGTGGTAGTATCTGATATTCTTGGATTTTATTAAAGACATTTAATGATACCCAACCAGTTAATTTTACCATATTATCATCTTCACGAGACCATGTTCATTACGTGTTCTTGACAGAATGAATAACCAAACCTCATATAAATACATGAATTAAAACCAATACTACACCCATTCCCACTTTGAGGTTGGTTTCAGGAAAGCACCCTGACTAATCACACATATTCCAGTGGTTTCAATTACATCCAATATACTTTTATTTGGGGTGAAATCAAATCTCGATCAGAGTATAGAAAGAAAAATATTCC